GTGTCTGCCCATGTGTGCTAGTTGTTTCGGCGTGGCCTGGGCAGCTGCAAGGAGTCTTGGAGGATACAGAAGCTGTTTGGGCTAGGGGTTTCCCGGTAGGATCCCGTGCGTTCATTTCATACTGTGTTATCTGTTTTTGTCCCAGTGGGTCCCAGCTGTTGGCTGGGGTTTGGTGTGTGCCTGTGTGCCTGGCATGCTTGCGTCTCTCACTCTACTTCTTAGCAGCTTCTCCCGCCCTCCCTCGTGGGCTTTGGTGTGCGGTGCCGAGGGTCCCTTCGCGTCCTCTGGCCCACGGCTCCGTGACTGCTCTGCAGAGGCCAAGGCCTGCTCGTCCTGGGCAGTCCCTCACCCATGTGTCCCTGTCTTCATGTGGAGGTGGCCTTCGCCGGGAAGACACAGGAAGATTTGGGGCTGGTCTGGAACTCAGAGAGGGGCAGAGGTGGGCAGCAGGAGGGAGGCACGGCGACTTGACACAGCAGTCCAATTCCCTCATCCTGGCACCTGAGCTAGAAGAGCTTGGGGCTGAGGCATGGCCAGCCGTTGGCGAGAAGGGACCCACTGTGTGCGTGGCTGTGGGGGTCCAGGGGCTGTGGGGTTCCCCTGGCTGTGGGGGTCCCCAGCTGTGGGGGTCCAGGGGCTGTGGGGTCCCCCAGCTGTGGGGGTCCAGGCGCTGTGGGGTCCCCCGGCTGTGGGGGTCCAGGCGCTGTGGGGTCCCCCGGCTGTGGGGGTCCAGGGGCTGTGGGGTTCCCCTGGCTGTGGGGGTCCCCAGCTGTGGGGGGTCCAGGCGCTGTGGGGTCCCCCGGCTGTGGGGGTCCAGGGGCTGTGGGGTCCCCCGGCTGTGGGGGGTCCAGGCACTGTGGGGTCCCCTGGCTGTGGGGGTCCAGGCGCTGTGGGGTCCCCCGGCTGTGGGGTCCCCCAGCTGTGGGGGTCCAGGCGCTGTGGGGTCCCCCGGCTGTGGGGGTCCAGGGGCTGTGGGGTCCCCCGGCTGTGGGGGTCCAGGGGCTGTGGGGTCCCCCGGCTGTGGGGGTCCAGGCGCTGTGGGGTCCCCCGGCTGTGGGGGTCCAGGCGCTGTGGGGTCCCCCGGCTGTGGGGGTCCAGGGGCTGTGGGGTTCCCCTGGCTGTGGGGGTCCCCAGCTGTGGGGGGTCCAGGCGCTGTGGGGTCCCCCGGCTGTGGGGGTCCAGGGGCTGTGGGGTCCCCCGGCTGTGGGGGTCCAGGCACTGTGGGGTCCCCTGGCTGTGGGGGTCCAGGCGCTGTGGGGTCCCCCGGCTGTGGGGTCCCCCAGCTGTGGGGGTCCAGGCGCTGTGGGGTCCCCCGGCTGTGGGGGTCCAGGGGCTGTGGGGTCCCCCGGCTGTGGGGGTCCAGGGGCTGTGGGGTCCCCCGGCTGTGGGGGTCCAGGGGCTGTGGGGTCCCCCGGCTGTGGGGGTCCAGGCGCTGTGGGGTCCCCCGGCTGTGGGGGTCCCCAGCTGTGGGGTTCCCGGCTGTGGTGAGACCCTCACCTGGCTGACTGTGCTCCTTTGAACAGAACAGACGCTCAGCCGATTGGAGGGGCTCTCATCACCCAAGGTGTTTGTTTCTTAGCTGCTTCTGAGCTATCCAGGACACCTGCTGAAGGGGTGGTTCCAGAGGCCCCAGGCACATTCGTGGATCACGGGCAGGGGGCATCGAGCTTAGGGCTGCTGTGTAAGTGAGGTCAAGGGGACCCAGCACAGTGGCTGCGCATGGGGGTTTTCCTTAGCAAAGTAGGGCCCAGTGTGGTAGCCTAGTGGCTAAAGTCCTCACCTTGCATGTGCTGGAATCCCATATGGGCACTAGTTCTAATCCCAGTGGCCCCACTTCCCATCCAGCTCCCAGCTTGTAACCGGGGAAGCAGTGGAGGATGGCTCAAAGCCTTGGGACCCTGCATCTGTGTGGGAGACCTGGAGGAGGCTTCTGGCTTCTGGCTTTGGATTGACTCAGCTCTGGTCATTGTGGTCACTTGGGGAATGAATCATCGGATGGAAGATCTTCCCCTCTATCTCTCCTCTTCTCTGTATATCTGACTTTCCAATAAAAATGAATAAATGAATGAGTGGATGAGTAAATAAATAAATCCTAAGCAAAGCAACCGTTTGCTTTTCCAGACAGGACTTGCTGTCCTGCGGGAGGCGAGGCTGCCCACAAGCTGACACCAAGCAGTGCCCCTCAGCAGGCCCTTTGCCTCCAGAACCATCTGTTTTTGGGTGCCCCACCCGAGAGCTGAGGTAGTCAAACTTTGTCCGTAGGAATGCAGCAGATAAGCTTTCTTGTCTAAAAAACAATACATGTCTTTGGGGGAGGGGCTGAGCCAAGGTTTGCTGCCTGTGGAGGATTGGCAGGGCAGGGGAGGGTGGGCAGCCTGTGCCTCTGCTGCTCGGGTTTCCAGATGTCGAAGCTCGCTCTCTCTCTCTCTCTCTCTCTCTCTCTCTCTCACACACACACACACACACACACACACACACACACTCACACCCCCTATAGGGTGCTCCTCTGCAGGGCCCTCCCACCAGGCGCAAATGGCCCCCCACACTCTCTTATCAGTGCTCCCCAGTAATGGAGGCTGTCTCTAATCGCCTCAGGGAGCAGTGCCAGGGAATTCATTTTTACAACCTTCCACAAGTTCCCGAGATTGTATCAGTGTTCCAGGGCACAGAGCAGCAACCCCACAGAACCTCAACCAGCTTCGGCCACTGCTGCTGGGGGGACCGGCCTGCGCAGGGCTGCTGCGCTGCCTCCCGTAAGCCAGGCTTCACCGCTGGCTTCCCCCTTGAGGCTTCTAGGGATGCAGCAAAATTCACAGGAGGGCAAAGGTTAAAGGGCTGTCTGCGACCCTGCCGAGGAGCCAGAGGCTGTGTCCATTGTCTGAGCAGCGGCTTGCCCTGCATGACCTCACGCTCTAGGCGTTCAGTCCTAGGGGCCAACCTGACGGGCAGTGTCAGGTGTCAGGCGTTCCCAAAGTCTTGCCAGGTCTTCCCAGGTACCTGGTGACCTGGCGAGCACATGGATCGTTGTCTTTCTAGAGGGAAGTATTGCTGAAGGACCACGTGGCTCTCCTATCCCGTGAACCGAGGTAGACCGTGGCACTGGACTGGTAGCTGCAGATGCTTTTCTTTTTTAAAGTTTTATTTATTTTTATTGGAAAGGCAAATTTCCAGAGAGACGAAAAGATAGAACGAGATTCCATTTCCTGTTTTACTCCCTAAATGGCCACAGTGGCTGGAGCTGAGCCATTCTGAAGCAAGGACCTTCCCCCAGGTCTCCCACGCAGGTGCAGGGTCCCAAAGCTTTGGGCCGTCTTCCACTGCTTTCCCAGACCACAAGCAGGGAGCTGGATGGGAAGTGGAGAAGCTGGGACACAGACTGACATCCTATGGGGTGTAGGGACCCAAGGCTTTGGGCCATCCTCCACTGCTTTCCCAGGCCACAAGCAGGGAGCTGGGTCAGAAGTGGAGCAGCCAGGACACAGACTGATATTATGTGGGATGCTGGCACTGCAGGCAGTGGCTTAGTGTGCTGTACCACAATGCTGACTCCTCCGGGTATGTGTTCAAGTTAGATTACAAGGCCCGTGATGACCTGCTCAAACACTGGTGGCTGTGTCACTGTCATGTAGATTAATCAGTTCTAGGATGCCCGTTTCCAAATGTTCTAACACTGAGTAGCTGGAGCCTGCCCTGCGTGTCGTGCTATTGCTTGAGCCATGCCGTTGTTCCTTCAGGTGGGTTTGGAATTCTGCAGGCTTAAAGACACCGCTCGACTCAGACTTCCTGCTCGACCGTGGGTGCCCTGAGGAACTCTGGGTGCACTGGGAGACACGGGCTCATCTTCTAGGTTAGGGTACTCCTCACTGGACAGGCGGGGATGGGGGACAGAGAGCGTGGAGGTAGCGGGGTCCCTTGGCATCCGTGGCAGTACCCCCAGGATGAGTTCTCAGGAGCATGTGTTAGATTTTGGCCTTGTCTCTTTTGGCTGAGAGCCGGGGCGCTGCTGGGAACTCTGGGGCTGGGAGAGCGTGGGCTGCAGGCTGCCGACGCGAGCCGGAGGAAGAGCACTCTCTGCCCTCTAGAGACGCTTGGCAACGTCCCCATTCCCAAAGCAGAAAATGAGGAACAGCTTCCTGTGTTGGAGGCGTCATTTAGATGTGGCCTATAAAAATAAGTGCCTCCAGATGTGAATGTCCGAGGCCAAGGGTCTCCGTGGCAACGGGGCCGAGACCTGAGCGTGCTGTGAAAAATAGAGCTCTCGTGGGATCGCGGTCTCCTCTCCCACGCTGCTGCCACCCGAAGCCAGGTCCCGGCAGCCGCTCCGTCATGCGTGACGAACCCAGCCCTTCACCTTGTCCCACTCCGTGGCCTGTGTGTGCATCCCCAGGTTGGGATGTTGTCCAGTCGTGGCCTGGGGCTGTAGTGCCTGTGTCCGAGGAACTCGGTTTGGTGGCCCCTGGCACACACGGTGCATCTGAGCACGCCGTACCCTTATCTCCCGCAGCGTTCTCCTTGGTTTCTTGGTTTGCTCATAGAAGGAGCTGAACAGGAAATGCTGCTGTCACATTTTCTCCCAGTGAGCATTGACTGAACTTAGAAATCAGTTTCTGAAAGTTTGGGTCTAGCCGTTGGCTTGCCCAGTTGGTATCCTGTGCGGCGGCCACCCTGTGTTGTCCCTGAGGGTGTGAGGGCCACAGCTCCTGTCCTGGCATGTGTGGGTGGGTGGTGTCCCAGGAAAGCCGCCAGAAGCACAGTCCTGGCTTATGCTTTTGGAGCAAGCGGCCCTCAGGGTTCTACTGTGTGTCTGAGGAGGGAGCTGCATGGTCTGGGCAGTTCACGGGAGCTTCCCTTGAAGCCGCGCTGATGTGCCACGATTCGACACCTGGCTCACAGTAAGAGGGCGGGAGTCCTCTCCCAGGGAGGCGACGAGGCTGCTGTCTCAGCTGTTCCGACTCTGCTCGGGAGATGCCCCCGCTAACAGGCGTGCTTTTGTGTTACAGGGTGACTGCTCTGGCTCCAGCTCCGGTTGTGGAAAGTGTGACTGCCACGGAGTGAAGGGACAAAAGGTGAGTACCGGATCCCACAGGTGCCACTCGAGCCTTGGGTGTCGCCATCCCTGCCCGTGCCACACGGCTAGCCAGAGAGGCAGGAGTCCCTGCCGAAGCCTTGCTCCTGCCTCCATACTGCCTCCTGGCCGGCCGAAGGAACTGGCCACGCTGTGCAGCTGTCTGAACACTGTTGCTCTGTTAGCCGTGGCCCAGCGAGCAAGATCGTTGGCGGCTGTGGCTACGATGCAGGGACTTACTGCATTCTCATTTTGACTCTTGAAGGAGCAAAAACATCTGAATCAATTGTGCCTCTTAGAATCAATCTATAAAAACTGCATTTTGCACGTTATTCTGATTAGCTGTTAACATTTCTGCAATTAGTAACTTAAAAACAAGATTTTTTTTTTTAAAGGAAGACTTAGAGAGATTTTGCATCTGCTGGTTCAATCCTCAGATGGCCACAGCTGCCAGGGCTGGACCAGTCTGAAGCCCCGATCCTCACCTGGGCCTTCTGCGTGGCTGCAGATGCTCAAGTTCATGGGCCGTCCTCCACTGCTCTCCAAAGTCATTAGCAGGGAGCTGGATGGGACGTGGGGCAGCCAGGATCAAACCTGTGCCCTTATTGGATGTTAGTATTGCAGGCGGGAGAAGGCCTACTCTTCTACAGGCTGACCCCTGAAATTAGTATTTCCACCATAATATTTTGCACACATGTCCTTGTCTAGATTTATTTATTAAAGCAGTGTTTCTTCCCCGCCCCCCAAGTGTCAGATCCTGTCTTTTCTAAGCCAGTGGTTTCTTCCTGTGGTTGAGGACCCGTGGGTCTGTCTAGATGAAGGTTCATCTTCTCCCTTGCGCTGGCTTGACAGAGGGATCACACCTGGTTTTTACCTACATCTCTGTGCTGCCTGTGGTCGCCGTGGAAACCAGGGGTGCTGGGCAAGCCAGTCCTCAAACCCTGGCTCCTAGTGCAGGTGCACAGGCAGCTGGGACCGCTGGGTGTGCTCTGCGTTCCTCGTCTTGTTCGGAGCAAGCCGAAGCCATCTTTCTGGCTAGCCAGAGGATCTTGTCTGTTTGCTTGTTTACTGGGAATGGGCGCAAAGTAGAATAGAGAGAGGCAAGGAGAACTTTTATCTTCTTAGTGACCACAGTGCCTGGGAGCCTGGCCAGGACCTGAGCCGGGACCTATGCCAGAAATCAAGGCAGGTTTCCCACATGTGCAGAACGAGGTCTGAGTCATCATTGCTGCCTCCCGGGGTCTCTGTGGCAGGAGGCCGCAGTCAGGAGCTGCAGCTGGGAGCGGAACCAAGGACCTAGGGGGCCACAGACCCACACCTCTCAAATCCTGCAAGTTAACTTTAATCTTTAATGAAGCTCCCACCCACTGGAAATAAGACAAGGTGGATTTGTTAGGGTCCAGCCCTCGCAGCCTCTCTGTACTCTGTTGTCCAGGCTGCGGGGGCTAGGACTCCGCCCTGCCCCTCACTGGGCTTCCGGAAGATTCCCTCAGAGCCCAGCGTCTCCAGCATCATGCCCGACCCTGCCCCACACGGTGCTTTGAGGCTTTCACTGCTGCTCCATTGAGAACATGTGCAAGGAGGCCCCGGCAGGCTTTGGGGCTGGTCTTCGTGAGCGTGGGGGGAAGCTATGTCTTTCTAGAGCTTCCGTGGCTCACGCTGCCCTCAGAAGGGCAAGAGACCCTCCCTCCCACTGAAGAGGAAGTGACAGGCTTCCCCCCATTGTCCCCCGGTCCTGCTAAAGTCATCAGCTGAAGGGTGCCAAAGACCCCGGGCTTCACAGAGCTGGGCTTTAGCGCCATCCCTGGCCTCCCAGGTCCACAGAGAGAAAGTCGCTTGGGCTGATGCGTCAGGGACAGGAATGGGCTCCCACCGTGACCCTGCCTGTGGCCACTTCTCAGGCCACCCGGGTTCCTGGGTGTTGGCAGCACGGTGCAGGGGTCGGGGTGATGGAGGAGGAATGGTAGGGGGTGGTCTGTGGCTGAGCTGCTGGCCGCCTTCTGTGCCTCGGGACCCCTTTTGTCCTGTCTGGGGACGGACGGCCGGGCTCCCTCAGGGTCTCCAGATCCGCTAGTAGATTTTGACACAGCAGCTGCCCCTGACTTCCTGGTTGCGCTGTCGGTGGTGGACACTGCTGGGCAGCCCTCCCGAGCGCGGCATCTGACGCTGTCTGCTTGCAGAGTCTCGGCCGACTCACTGTTCTGCAGGCGGCTCGAGCGCCTGGGCCCGGGATGTTTCCTCTCAGGTGATTAGCTGGGGTTTTGGCGACTGCAACCTGGGAAATGCCATCTGCTCTAAGTGACGAGGGCTTGGGATGCCGGCTGCCTCAGCCAAGGCCAAGGCCAGCTCTTCCCTGACTGGAGAATTCGATTTTTCTCAGCCACTCACCCTGTGGGGAAAGGCCTCATGCTGTCCACACGGAGAGACTGCACGGGAAATGATTGCGTCACGAGAGACTGTTTTTCTACACCGCTCCCCATGTTCCGTGACCTCATGGCATCTAGCAGATAGGCACTTAGGCCCAAGGCGCACGGGGGATAAATGGCAAGCTGAGGGTCTCAGTTAGAGCCTGTGTATGGCAAAGGTGAGCCAGCAGCCGCCAGGTGGTCCTGGGCAGCCAGAGCTCCAGGCCGTGGCACAGGGGGCCGGCTTCCTGGAAGAAGTCGCCTCCTCAAACTCACTGTCTGCCCACTCACCTTCCTGGCCTCGAGTCCCACGGGTACCAGGGCCTGGCAGAGCTGTGGGGCAGCAGCCCTGGTCCTGCCATTCCACCCTGGCTGATGGCCACTTCCTCCCACACACGCGCGGGTCGGAGCAGCCGTCAGACACAGGGAGAAGCCCCCACCCGGGACGGAATTGACGGAGCCCTCAAAGCCCAGCGTCCTCTTTTCATCAAAGCCCATGTCTTGTCGGATCTGGAAGGCTCGGAAGTGGCCGGTCTGGAAGTGTTTTGACTGCTGGCCCTGGAAGTCTGGGGAGGGCTTAGCGTGGCGTTGTGGGCTCAGTGGTGACAGGAGTGTCTTCCCTCGTGATGACGAAGTGGCCTGTGGTGTCAGCAGCCTCCTTAGCAGCTGCTTGCACGCAGTAGGTTTTGGTCAGAAAGGAAAACTCCTGGCCCCTGGTGTCAAACCGTAAAGAGGCCTAGGTGCCCTCTGGCGTGTCTGCCATGGGTCGGGCATGGTGCTTCGTCCAGGACAGGAGGCTACCCCTGGGTTGTGGGCGGCAGAGGAGGCTCAGCTGGGCTCCTGGCTGCTGGGAGCTTTGAGCCCAGGGAGTCCCTCGTGGGTGACCCAGAGCTGGGCAGGTATGTCTTCGTCTTCTGTGTCTACACTGGGGGACACACATTGGTCGCCCCTCATCCCTCAGTCTTCCCGTACCTGGGAGGGTGAGGCATTTCCCACCCGAGGGCCCTGGAGGGATGGTGGGACAACAGGGTGCGTGAGCAGCGTCTGCTTTCCAGCCAGGCTGGAGGGCTGCCACTCAGGCCCTTTGAGCATCTTCTGAGGACATGCAGACGGTATCCGCAGGGATGCTGCACGTTGCACCCAATGTGGCAGAGGTGCCGGGTCTCCTGAGGGAAGAGCTGTGTGCGCACTTGCACCAGGGACCCGCTGTCAGCTGCCACAGGCAGGCATGCTGTGGCCTCCTCGGCCAGACGCGGAGGTGGTAGGAGCCCGGCCCCAGGCACGCTGCTTGCTTTGGTCTGCCCCTCGCCCCGCGCCACGCTGCCCAAGGACCCGAGGGATGTTGCTTGCAGCCCAGCCTGTGACCAGGCTGAAGGAATGAAGGGTCTTGCTTGGCACAGGGTCTTAGCTGCCCTTGAACCTTAGAGGAAGTCCCTTTGGGGCAAACACTCCCAGGTTACTGAGAGTTTATTGATGCATTCATCTCCCGGACCCTGTGAAAAGTTACATGTGGTTAAGAGCTGCAACCACCCAGACGTGGCAGTGTCATGACAGAACCGTAGTCGGCGAGTGCTTTGTGTGTCCCACGTGGCGTGCGAGCCTTGATTCTGCTCTCATTCCTTGTGTTCTGGGTAGACGCAGGCTCTAATCCTTGAGAACTACGGGAAACGAAGGTGAGCAGGCTTTTCTCGTGTGTAGGAACTGCTGTTTGGAAAGTCAGTGTTGTCTGGTTCTTCCTGGATTTGGGTTCTTCTCTCAAGTGTTTAGCTGTGCGTGTTTTGTGTAGGTTGTTGCAATCTCTGCATGCTCCCTGGGTTAGTCTCTTAGCCCTGTGCTATCACTCCGGATCTGCAATGGTTTAACGTTTACTGGGGGCCAGTGGGAATTTCCAAGTCTAGAATATTTTAAAAGAAGTCCTGCTCTGTCGGTCTCGAGGTGTAAGATGGTGCATGAGAACGCACCCAGGGCACTTGGGAAGTTGACCAAGGACTTTTCAGAAAGTGCAAGATTTCTGCAGTGGGGGCCTCGCGTGTGTTTCGAAACACTTCATGCCTGAGAGGCTCACCAGTGTGTGTTCCAGCAGTTTAGATTACCAGGAAGCTGTCATTCAGCTTGTTTCAATACAAGATTCCTAGTCCATCTTTGCGATGAAACAGCACGTGCTAAAGGATGCAGGTCAGAAAAGTCAGACACACACTGGTGAATTTAGCTGTGGCACAGCTCAGCCCTTAGCCAACTAGTACACCAGCTCAGCGCCCCAGTGTTAGAATTGACTGACAATGGCTTCAGGAAGCGTCCTGCGTGTGGGTGGCATTGGTGTTGTGGGTATGTTCCAGCGTGGTGGTGGAGGTGGGGACAGAGGACACAGCATGCAGGGACCTCTAGCGAGGTATGTGGACGTGAGCAAGGTGGCGACCGTCCAGTGGTGGCTCACACCCAGTGGAGACCCAGAGGCCGAGCAATGGGCCACTCCTCCCGTGAGTGTAGCTGACTGCCCAAGTTGGCGTTGCACAGACGCTGGGCTGCCTGGAGGACCACGACGGGGTCATTACTTGGCGCGTTCGTGGCTTTGGGATGCTGCCACTGGAGGAAAAAA